GTTGATATTATTGGTGGAATGATAAATCCAAGCTTTTGTCTTACCACTATCAAAACCAAGGAGCTCCTAAAGATGTGGCTTTCTTCTGCCACATCCTTCTTCTCACTGCTCAGTGCAGCATGCAATTTAAGCTCAGCCTAACAGAAGCAGTTTCATGAGACTCTGAATATTAATCTGGTAACATGAGGCTACAAGAAATTACAGTTTATTCTACCTAATAGTAATGCCCTCACAAGATTCAATAAGACAAGCAATAACAAGTGTTGGAGATGTTGTGGAAAAAAGGGAACCCTCATTCACTGCTGGTGGGAATGTAGACTGGTACAACCACTATGGAAATCAGTCTAACAATTCCTCAAAAAATTAAAGATAGAGCTACCATATGACCCAACAACCCCATTCCTGGGTATATACCTGAAAAACTCGAAATCATTTATACACAAAGATATATGCACCTCTATGTTCATTGCAGCATTATTCACGGTGGCCAAGACATGGAAACAGCCAAAGTGCCCTGTGATAGAGGACTGGATAAAGAAGATGTGATACATATACACAATGGAATACTACTCAGCCATACTAAAGGATGAAATAGTGCCATTTGCAACAACATGGATGGACATTGAGAACATTATGCTAAGTGAAATAAGTCAGACAGAAAAAGCTAAGAACCATATGATTTCACACATATGTGGGATATAAAACTAAAACTTATGAACACAAACAGCAGTGTGGTGATTGCCAGAGGGAGGGGCGTGGGGGAAGAAAGAGCTCCCAGTATGAGGTGACAGGAGAAGATTTGACTTTGGGTGGTGGGCACATGGTGCTATATACAGATTTTGTAACTTAGTAGTCCACACATGAATGAAACCTATATGTTCATGCTGACTAATGTCACCTCAATAAAATTTTAAAAAAAGAAGATTCCCTGCTAGGAGACTACCCCTGTGGTTTCTGATTTGTAGACCTGTATCTGTTTTCAAGCCCTGTCCTTTAACTTTCCCATAAATTTCTTGAGTTCTCAAAACCCTTTCAACCATTTTTCTTTTCTTTAGGTAATCAGAACTAACAATACTGTCAGTTCAAAGACATTTGGTTTCTGTTCTGGCAACCAAAGCACCTTGACTGAAACATTGTGCTTGGCACTGACAATATGGCAGTCAACAAGACAGATGAAGCTTAAATATTAGTGGGAAACAGGTTTACTCAACACTAATATAAGAAACTCTACATTAAGAAAAGTCAGCCATTGCTTTCATATAACTCATGTACTTTAGACTTTTCATTTATTTATTCATGCATGCAACAAATGTTTATGACATACCTACAAGGTGCTAGACATTATCAGTATGAATTTAATCCATTTTATTTGTTTTGCGTAATCAATAGAGTTATAACTAGGTCCTTCCTCCATTGCTCCAAGCTCCTTGTGTCCCCTAAATTCTTTAAAGTCAGGACCAGAAGCATACCTATTAACCATAGGCCTGAGGTGTTGAGGTTATAAGCCTTACTTCCTTTTACCCTTTCACTCTACAACCTTCCCATATCTCTGGGTACAGGGAAGGTAGGCCATCACAGATGATCACTGTCATCTTTGGGACTTCTGAAAAAACAGTAAGGATTAGGGTCTTGGGCAGAAGCATCCTTAAACTTGTCCCAGAGAGAGTTTAGTACTAGTCAGTGTTTCCAGCTTGCCCACAGTAAACCAGAGCACAGCAGAGAATAAATAGTTAGAGCCAGTACCCTGAAAGCTCCAAGGGGCTTTGTAACTTTGTTGATTTAGTAATGAGGATTTGCTTGTGGCATTGAGAAATGGAATCCTGCCTTACCCAAGCTGTCCCCCCAAAACCTGGAATACCCTACCCTCAGTCCTGACTAAATACTGCAACATTTATTGCTGGTGAAGCACTTCTCTTCCACCAAATCCTTGTTTTACTCATTCACTATTCCAATGTGTATATCTGGTCTCCCCATGTAAACAGTAAGTTGCTGGGAGTAATAGCATAAGTATGACATATCTGAATCTTTCTCTTCATGTCAGGGCTCAATGAATGCTTGGGAGTTGATTGTTCATTGAAAGCAGCCCAAAGGTTCTAGGGTCTCTTTTCCATAGTCATTTGGGTCTGTCTTCACACAATTGTCAGCCATTTTGTGGGCCTAGGAAGAGCAAACCAACAGATGCCTGAAAGATGTTTAATCAGTGTTTCCCCTACAATTTCAAACTGTCACCTAATTTGTGATAAACCCATGTTTTACTAATTAGCAGGAGAAGTCATGACAGGAATCATGAACTTTTCTATAAAATTGAATTTCTATTCTTGACAGCATGTCAGGTCATTAGAGACAGGCTGTATGTTCATCACTCCAGCAGCAGCAGAACAGTCATAATCCTATTACTCTGAAAATAAATATAATCAAGGGCATTTTCACAGCCAAAAATGATCCCCCAAATCAACGCACATGCAGAGGTATATATTTGTAGATTTGTTAATTATACCCAAGTCTTGTCCCTAAATCTGTTTTTGAATGAAGGTGACAATATTGTCAGTTCAAAGACATTTTTAACATTTGAGATATTTTGTTCATCATTTATGTTAGTTCTCATTCACTCACTGGCTCATCTTCCCCTACAAAAAAAGTACACAGAGCCCTATGTGGAACAAAGTATGTGGGATTTCATCAGAGCAAAATTTCATAGGCAAGGGGATTGACTCAGGCAGATAATCAGGGGCCTACAAGTCTACCTACATTTTTATGTTTATGGGATGGCAGAGAGGGCAAAGAAGAATGTAAGAACTTTATACCAGTGACAGGTACCAGTGTTCCAGGCTATTTAGTAGTCAATGGCAAATCTTATTTAAAGGATCCAATATGGTACCTTTCATAGGGCAGACATGTTGGGTGAGGCCATGAAGGGGTGAGAGGTGGGTGGGATTGGAAAGAGAAAGGAGATAAAATATTGTGTTTCAGCCTGGCTGGCATGGCTCAGTGGTTGAGCATCAACCTATGAACTAGGAGATCATGGTCCGATTTCCGGTCAGGGCACATGCCTGGGTTGCAGTGCTCAATCCCTAGTATGGGGTGTGCAGGAGGCAAACCATCAGTGACTCTTTCATCATTGATGTTTCTATCTCTTTCTCCTTCCTTCCTCTCTGAAATAAACAAAAATATATTTTAAAAAATAAGTAAATAAAAGTATTGTGTTTCACTATGCTAGAAAATTTATAGACATCATTTTTATTTAAGCCTCACTTTAGCTCAAGGATGAGTTTACTATTATTATTACTTCCCCTAAGTCTCCCATCTAGGAATCTGTCACATTTTTGTCAAGAGCTAGGATTTGAACCCCACCCATCTCTGTTGTCTCCACAGCTCACTGCACCATACATACTCACAAAGGTAATGGGAGACTTGGGGGAAGTAATAATAATAGTAAACTCATCCTTGAGCTAAAGTGAGGCTTAAATAAAAATGATGTCTATAAATTTTCTAGCATAGTGAAACACAATACTTTTATTTACTTATTTTTTAAAATATATTTTTGTTTATTTCAGAGAGGAAGGAAGGAGAAAGAGATAGAAACATCAATGATGAAAGAGTCACTGATGGTTTGCCTCCTGCACACCCCATACTAGGGATTGAGCACTGCAACCCAGGCATGTGCCCTGACCGGAAATCGGACCATGATCTCCTAGTTCATAGGTTGATGCTCAACCACTGAGCCATGCCAGCCAGGCTGAAACACAATATTTTATCTCCTTTCTCTTTCCAACCCCACCCACCTCTCACCCCTTCATGGCCTCACCCATCTCTGTTGTCTCCACAGCTCACTGCACCATACATACTCATTTGAAGGGTCCAATGGTCTTTATTTATGTATGTATGCATTTATTTATTGCTTGAAGAGGTAACATATTCTCTCAGTACAAGATTTGAAAGATATGAAAAGGCATAGGGTGAAAAGTAAATCTCCCTTTCGTTCCTGCCTCCGGATACCCTGTTACTCTTCCTGAAGGAAACAACTGATACCAGTTGCTTGTGTATCCTTCCAGAACATGAATGCAAGCAGCCTCCCTGGCTGGGAAGCTTTGGTGGCAATATTTGGAATGGGATTAAATGGCCAGCTATCATGCTAGTGTAAAACAGGCACAATTATCTTCAATGCTCACTCTGTTGCCTTTGGGTGACTCTTCTGGTCTCCATCCCCTTACTTTCCTGCTTACCTTGACCTGTCCTTCCCTCCCTAGAGAGAAAATCCAGCTTCAGACAGTTCCTGTCCTGTTACATTCCTCAGAACCCTGCTTGCTGTTGCCTCATGAGCTGCCATGACTGAGAAATTTATCCCCACTAGAGAATTCATGGGTGTCTGTGGATTGATGAGCTACCCTTTTCATAGAACATGTTTCCATTTTAGCAGGGGTGTTCAATCAAAAGAGTGATTTGAATAATGGGGATTTCAGGTGCTTTGTCATGAGAGACCAACAGGATAGTGAGATTTTGTTGTTTTTCTCAAAATGTACAATCTTGTGGCTCTTCCCATCTACTTCCTCTGTGGTGTCAGGTCAACTGGATATTCAGAAACTTTGGCTACCTGAAATTGTTTGATTCGCAAGCAGTAAGAACCCTGATCTGGATTTCTTTTTTTCTTTCAAGAGTATGTGGACACTCAGAGTTTTTGAAATAAAATCTCTAATGCTAAATAGACAGTTCTCCCTTAGTATATAATAACTATATACTCAAATATTATCTAAAAAGAAAGAAACCACTGTAACAATAAATAGGATAATTATTCTGACTTTAATATTCACTAAATGCTATCTCATTCTGCTCCTTCCAAAATAATATTTAGAATATGAAGTTGGAGCAGATGGCTTCACAAATTCAACATTTTCTCCAATCTGGGAGTGGGGAGAGTAATGTATTTCTGCTGGGGTTTATTGAAGGAATCTTTGTTTATGAATGGAATTCATTTTGATTTCCACAGGTAATATTCTTCTCACACAATTAGGCACAACATCACAACTCAAGGGAGAGCAACAGTAGGAATCTTCATCATAGTTATCTGTATTAACAAAAAAAACACAACAACATTTTTTTGTTAAAAATTTGAACAAAGTCCTCATGGCATTGGGGACTTTGCATATAGTAAAAGCATAAGAAATTTTATCTAATGTAGAAATAAATATAGGAATTAGAAAGGAAGTGAAAGTTGTGGTGCTTTCCTTGGATAGTTTAATATAAATCCAGGGTGAATTAATTCATCTCGACAACACTGCTTAGGCAATTACAACTGCATATGTTCTTCATGCATTGTGAACAACAAGCTGTGTTATTCACAGTAACTTTAACCTAGGGGAGGATATGTACAGACAAACCTCAGAGGCCTTCAGAAAAGTCAACATAAAATGGTAACACACATACCTATATCCTTCCATGAATTTAGTATTCTTTCTCTGAAGGTTTAGTTCTTAGCCTGAGAGTGCCTACTGGCACAGAAAACACAATTTTTCATTCTGTGCTGATAGAATCAAGTTTCTGGCTGCCACAGTCTGATGGTAGCATTCAGATTGCAGTTTTAGAACCTGAACCAAAGAGACTGGACTACCTGCCGCACTGGCTGAGTTACTTCTTCGGGTGCCTTAGTTCTCTGAATCTATTGCTTGGTACAACATTAAAATCCTGGATATGAAAAAATAAAATAAAATAAAATCCTGGATATGGGATATGTTAGTGCTCCCCATAAGAAAAATGTGTACAGTTGTTCGGTATATTTGCTAATGAAACAATATCCCACAGGGACAGCAGGGGAGCCAATACTAACCAACCCCTTTGCAAAAATGATTTTACCCAGTCAACTCCAACTATTATCTACTAAAGAGCTTCCATAACCCCTGCCTTCTATATGCCATAGCTCTCCAGTGCCTCCATATGAGCATTACAGTATATCTACAAGCTAGCTGGCCAGAGTTTGATGAACGCTTGTGGGCAAGAAAAAAGTTTTTTATATGCACCAACATTTCCATACAGAAATGGAGACTGAGACTCTGTACACTAGACAAATTAGTTAAAATGGAAAATAGTGCTGCCTCACACAGTCTTGTATTGAAGGTAGAGAGACTGCAGCTCTGAAAGTAATATGCCCAAGGTCACAGAGTTAGTGACAGAGCTGGGACTTGAGCCAAAGTTTTCTGACTCCTAGTTTGATGCTTAAATAAACAACCCACCATGCTGATTCCAGATTGGCTACAGCAATTGGAAATAAACTGTTATATGGAGCCAACATAATGAAAAATATAAGTAGAAAAAGCCGTTCTACAGCCAGCACTGAGAAGGTGGAAGAACGATTACAGCCAGGCCACCAATGGTGTTCTGTGATTGGAGTACAGTTTGGTCTTTAAGAAAGCAACCAGAGGCCACTGTACCATCATCCAGCTGAAAGCACAGAACATAAAGTCATCACAACATCAACTTGAGCTCTTAAGTTCTTGCTCACTTTGCCTTTAGACCAATTTTTTCCTTATATTTTCCTTTCCAGCACCCATCTCCACTTCAATATCTGTCTCTGTACCTAGACATTTGACTTCCTGTGGAAGAAGGTGAGCATCTAAGAGCGTTGTACAGCTCAGTGGGTATTCTTGGTAGAATGTGGTGAGCACTAGCTTGAGATCCAGGATACCCAAGTCCTGTAACCAGTTCTCTCTATTGATAGGCTGAGTGACTGTCCATAAGGCAGTTTTATTTTCCTGCTTAAGGTTCCTCACCTGTAAACTGAGAGGATTGCACTAGACAATGTCTACATTTTTTTCTGCTTTTAGTAATCTATAACAATTTTTTATATTATCCATAGCTTTTTTTTTTACTTTCAGTCCCTTCTCTCTGCTATTAATCTAATAACCCACCAGATTTGTACATACAAAGTGCTTCTATATACACTTTCTCAGCCAGCTCATGTATATACATGTACCTGTACTTTTAGTTTTGAGGAAGAAGTATATCTCAAGACCACATATGTGGCCTCATATTAATTCAATATCTCTTAAATATAAGTATAGGCAACACAGCCATTTCTCTTACCACTTGGGAAGCTTATTTCTGAAGGAGTGCCTTGTGAAGAGCCTAAAGATTTGAAAGTAGAACTACTTGTAGTTGACTTGAGGGATGGTGTCAACAATTTGTGCTTGAAGGTTTTCTTCAATCTTTCCTGTTTATACCCAACATTTAGCTCATATCTGCTGCTCCCATCTGAAATGACAATAAAAATCTTAGAAACATAAAACTCATCAAATTCTATACTTTAGACGGGTAAATTATACCTCAAAATCGTGTTTAAGTAATCTAAAGTCCAATGTACAGAGTGTTTGTTCTGAGTACCTCAAGTAGTCAGATTTTTCATGAAATTATAAAAATTTTGAATTGTAATATGTGGTACAGGCAGAGCCAATTCACCTACCCAGGATACTTGCTTTTCCTAGAGTCTGGCACAATGATTAGCAGGTGACTGACATGCCCAGCATAATGGAGTAGAATTTTTGAGTTCAAGCACTGCTTTCCCTAAAGGAGCTTCGCATTGAGATTGAGAGAAGCTGCCTGAATTGGATGGAAGAGCCTTTTTATACATAGAAAATCAGTTTGCCTGGACTGGAGATATTCCCAAAGGCTTCATCAGAGTCCACTACATCTCCTACTGTGCAGGAAGGGCCATCGGTATATTAAGGAAGCCCAGTAGCCAGGCGTCTTAGGGATGTTGACAAGTTCTCCACCTGACCATCACTCTTTGCTTCCCACATTCACTCAACTCAGTGTTGGCTATGGGCCAGAAAGCCCGTGTGACACAGTGCCTGGAACACAGTAGACAATCAATGTTCTCTTAATAGAATCAAGACTCAGGTGACAGCAAGGAAAAGCAATCCAAGGAATCTGGGCCAAAAGAGAAGCTTCACTAAGTTAAAATATGGCCCAAATCACATCTTTAACCTGACTTCATTAATCTCAGCACAGAAGTACAAATTATTTTCATGACACGGAGACAGCCTCCATTTTTATGCTAATGCTTCATGAACTCAAGTAAGGAGACAAGTTAATCTGATTAGTTTTATAAAACCTATACAATTCAAAAACTTGCCCAGACTGGCATCTTACCAGAAAAATTATCCAATTGCAACCGCCTGCAACAGAGGTGAGTCCGCCACTGCTCCCGCACACTCTCCTTCATCACACAGTGGAACACAAAAATGAGGAATCCTATGACAAGAGAAGGTCAATCTTTTTCAGCTTCTTTCAATAGCTGTCACCAATGCCCAGAGTCAGGTCTATTCTTCTCACCGTAAATACTAAGGAATCACAGGGTCATCATTGTCTTTCTGAGCTCATTCATATTTCTATAGCCTTCCTGCCAAAGGCAGTGATGGCAAAAAGACCTGTATCAAGATTTCATGTCAACCAGTGCTTCCCCTAGCGCTTGAGAGATCAGGTCTGCAATGATAGCCAGCCTCTGAAATTACTTTCAATGATCACCACACCCTGGAAGTCACATCCTAGTATAGTCTCCTTCCACATTGTACCAATAGTATATGGCAGAAATGATGGCATGTCACTTCCAAAATTAGGTTATAAAAGACATTGTTCTCTCTCTCTCTCTCTCTCTCTCTCTCTCTCTCTCTCTCTCATCACTCACTTCAAAGGAAGCCAAGTGTTATGTCTTCAGGACACCCTGACAGCCCTGTGGAAAGGCCCACGAAGCCAAGTGTTATGTCTTCAGGACACCCTGACAGCCCTGTGGAAAGGCCCACATGTGAGAAACTAAAGCTTCTAGTCCACGGCCATGTGCGCAGATTCTCTACACCCTGGCTGACAGATTGACCAACTTTGTAAAAGTTCCTGGGCCAGAGCTACCCAGCTAAGCTTCTCCTGAATTCCTTATCTTCAGAAACTGTATGTTTGTTCTTTTAGGCTGCTAAAATTAGGGGGTAATTTGTTACACACGCAATAAATAAAAAATGCACACTCTTTTGCACAATTGCATTGTGTGGAAACCATAAATTTGGTGTCCTAATTTTCCACTGCCAGCCCTTATTTTGCCCTTCAAGTGGCATATGAGTGCTGAAGGTATCTACCAGCAAGATTGACCATTTCTCATCCCACACTCTGAAATATCTCCTTGGGAGATAAAAGTGGGATGTAAGATGACCCTAATTAAAATGCCCTGGAAGGCCAATTGGATTTCCTAATGTTTGGGGGGGGGGTGTAATAGGAACAAATAACTTGTCAGCAGCCTGACTTTTATTTATGGTACATGCTAAAAAGTCTTTTTATTCATAAAGCCTTTCAGATGCTTCAAACTGAAACTCATCTGTACCATTTCTGAATTCTCATAGCACTTTGTTATAATATTTGCTATGTTTGGTTATATTATTCTCCATGTATTATTAATATCTCTACCTAGCTGTAATATCTTTGAAGGCTGAAGTATCTTTCATTTGCATCTTTGCATCACTTATTTCTTTGCCTCTAGTGCTATGTGTAGCAGCTCAATAGATGCTTGTTGACTTGAACCTCAAGGCACTTGATACACAAATTCTCACAGCCTTCTGCAATCTTAGTAATACCTTCTTGAGCCTCAAAATATTTATTTTTGCCCAAGTGCAGTTTGAAAACTTTTGTTCTCTATAGAAGGTTTAGCTTGCCACTTCATTGGGCAGTTGTCCTGAAGAGAAACAATTAGTGATGGATAAAAGATGTCTTAACTTATTGCAAGCTGAGCATGAGTCAACAGTAAATGCCCCCAAAATTCACTTCAGCTAGGATATTAGTGGGAGTAAAGAATCTTGATTGAGGCAGGTGGAGTCTCCTGCCATCTGCCCTGGTTTGGACCTTCCTCCTACCAGCATCATGCTCAGATTGGGAGACTTTGTTTTAGAAGGATAATGAAAAATGGTAGTCTTCAAGAATACTATGCAGCTGTAAAAAGGAACTCCTACCATTTGCAACAGCATGGATGGAACTGGAGAGCATTATGCTAACTGAAATAAGTCAGTCAGAGAAAGATAAATATCACATGCTCTCACTCATTTGTAGATTATAATGAACAACATAAACCGATGAACAAAAACAGATGTAGAGACAGAGAAGCATCGATCAGATGCTCAAAACTCAGAGAGAAGGCAGGGGAAGGTGGGGCTAAGGATGAGAGATCAACCAAAGGACTTGTATGCATGCATATAAGCATAAGTGATGGATGTGGACAACAGGGGGTGAGGGTGAGGGTGAGGGTAGGATTGGGGGGATGAGGGGACATTGGGGAGATAAGGACACATTTGTAATATCTTAATCAATAAAGGGAAAAAATAAATTCAAAAAAAAGAATACTTAGAGCAAACAAGAATAAGGATGGACTTGAAGAAAGGCTGAAAGAGCTGAGGTGTTGTATTTGGTTAGGAGAAAACTTGAAGTGGGTAATATAGGGTAAGGAGAGATGGTAGCTATAATCACAATACCCTCTGAAAGGGCTGTCATGAAAAGGACAAATTATATTTGTTTTGTGTGGTTGCCAGGTTAGAAAGAACTAGAAACAATGGGAGGAAGCCACAAACAATCATGTAGTAACAAATCACAGCTAGTGTTTATTCACCAATGACTAGATCATAGGCATTGTACTATTAATCTAATTTTTATAGATGAAAGACCTCAGAGCCCAAGAAACCTAGTAAACTTGATCCAGTCACAGAGCTGATATTGAACTGACAGCATCAGGACTGAGGACAGGTATTCTGGCTGCAAAGCCCAAGAGCTTAACCACTACACACACTACTCTCAGGAAAGGATGACCCAAATAAATTTTAGTGCTGATTACATGCTACAGTGGCACTAATATATATTATATTAATATATTTAATGAACTTGTTGTATACCTTAAATTTATACAATGTTATATGTCAAATACATTTCAATTTTTAAAAAGAGAGAAGTTAAATATTCTGCTGTATAGAATAATGAGCTCTCAGTCTCTGGAAAGCTTGAGGCAGAGGCATGTAACTTCTTGTCACTTTATGGCAAGTTGGATTGGGAAGTTATTGGTTCCCTGATTCCAGCCCTGAGACTTTCTGATTCCAGGTGGGAGGCAGCAATCTGGAGGCTAAACGGAATGACAAATCTCACCACTTATGCTGAGGAATTTGTCTCCATTTGTAACCAAACAAATGTGGGGATGAATCAAGCATCCTTTTTTGAGCAGCAGCCACCTGGAAGGTGGTACAGCAACCTGATGAGAGCAAACCCTAGTCTCAGAGCAGGTAAAACTCCAGCTCCAGCATGAACAAGGGGCAATAGTGACAACAAACACCTATTACTGTTCTGATTTCCTGCATGGAGTTTAAGTTAGTTCTCAGACTTAACGGTTATTCCATGAATTCCAATGAGCTGCCTGCCAGCTCTCCCTTTCTGCCTGACAGCCTTCCTTTTTCTTTCCAATAACAGATTGATCTGCTTACTCATTAGAGCATAGGAATGAGGGAAGATGTCAGGTTTTTGTCAACTGCCTTTTTATTTGTGCACCCTTCCTTCAGAAATGGCTCATGATGATCATACTTTTTCACACCTAACCACAGGGAAATCCTCTTCAGCCAAAATTATGAACTTTCCATCTGTCTTTTAAATGGCTACTTTGTTCACTTGCTTCACTGCATTCTTGTTTTGAGTAGTGTGTGTGTGTGTGTGTGTGTGTGTGTGTGTGTGTGTGTGAGAGAGAGAGAGAGAGAGAGAGAGACAGAGAGAGAGAGAGAGACAGAGAGAGAGAGAGAGACTTGTGTTTGAAACTCAGGGCTCTGAAAACACCCTCTCGTCAACATGGCACATTCTCTTTTGTAGGAAGGACTAGGAATTAGAAACTCTTGGTGCTTTACTGACATAAAGCATATCTAACAGACAGAGATAGCTTGGCTCTGTTGATGTTGGATCTATGGGACTTTGGTTTTAGTCATCAGGAGAACCCCAATTGGATTGTGCTCCTACCCATGTAGGCTTCCTGCTTAGATACTACATCCCTTCCACAATAAGAATGGAGCACTTGCTGTTTTGAAAACACTCCTCCCCCCTTTTAAGTTCTAAACTGCTTTGCTTTCTTGTTCTTTTGTCAGCTTCCCTTCCCTTTAATCCCTCTTTCCATAAAGTGAGTGCATTTCTCCTCAGAATGAGTGACCCAGAGAGAAGCCTGGAGTTAGTGCTGAGGAAGAAATCTGCACAGGCATCTAGTTTCTAATTTACTTCTGTGTACATTCTACACCGAATCTGGTTAGTTCTTAAACCATCATAATACAGAGACCAGGGTAATCTCTGTGTAGTCCAGGTAGTTATGTAAAGAGGTAAAGTATAGACTCATCACCACAGCCTCAGTCAACAATCAAGGATACAATCAAGTGCTGACAGCCTCCAAGGGAACCATGAGAGTGGGGTGGAGAGCTCACAAAAATTCTGTCCTCACTATAATAAAGAATAATAATGGCATGTGAAGGAAGAACAATACATTTTGTGTCTTTTCACAATCCAATCAGAATATGGCTGTATATGGTTAGCATAATCTGGTGGGAAAAATAGTTTCAGTTGATACACTTCATTGCTGAAAAATGAAGTGGTTTCTTGAATCATTAGACATGATGGAAAAAATCTATGTCTTATTCTAGATTGTTTCCCAATTTCCCTGTAGCACCTTGCAAATGTTTACATACCAATTCATATTTCCCACAATTCCTCAGGGATTAATAACCACAATGTCAAAGTGTTCTGAAGTTTTTTAAATGCTCGGCTAAACCAAAATTTTTTTAATCCTCACCCTTGATATATTTTTATTGACTTCAGAGAGAGGAAGGGAGAGAGACACACAGAGAGAAAGATTCATGTGAGAGAGAAACATTGATCGGTTCCCTCCTTTAAGAGACATGACCAGAGATTGAACCCAAAACCTAGATACATGCCTTAAATGGGAATTGAATATGTAACTTTTTGGTGTGCAGGACAATGCTCCAACCAATGAGCTACCGGTCGAGGCTAAAACAAATTTTTTTTTAATATATTTTATTGATTTTTTACAGAGAGGAAGGGAGAGAGATAGAGAGTTAGAAACATCGATGAGAGAGAAACATCGACCAGCTGCCTCCTGCACATCTCCTATTGGGGATGTGCCCGCAACCCAGGTACATGCCCTTGACCGGAATCGAACCCAGGACCTTTCAGTCCGCAGGCTGACGCTCTATCCACTGAGCCAAACCGGTTTCGGCTAAAACAAATTTTTAAAAGTATTTTTCCCCCAACAGAATTTTTCAGAGCTTTTTAATGTATACTGTGCCATTTCAAGAATGGGGACATGTAGTTTGCTGCATTTCCCAAACTTCTTTCACCATAGAACCCTTTTCCTCCTGGAGCATCCTATGGAACCACCAAAAAGCATTTATCAAATTAATAAATAGTTAAAAGCACTAAAGGAGACCCTAACTCAATGAACTGCCCAAGACGACTCACAGTGGCCCTACTGCAGTGGCCCAAATCAAGAGGGCCAAACTTAAGCATAAGAGCATGAGGTGGAGTTTGAGACTCAGAAATCACTCTGCATGCCTCTTTCTCCCAAGATTTTTTAGTAGGCAAAATCTGGCTAAAATGAACATCAACACTTATTCAGAGGTATATTAGCCAGATCCTGAGCTTTTACTTCTCATGTCATCTTTGGCCTACCATTTAATCAATTCATTATCATTTGTTTTCCTTTCACCAGAAAATAGGAAGGAGATTAAAGAGCTATAGAGCCATTAGTTTAGAATAATCTAATTTAGCCAGTTGTGGCAACTTTTTCAAGTTTAATTTGTAGTAAAACCAAGACTAGAACCTTACCCTCTTGCCTTGACTGACTACTCTTTGCTCTTCACCTTCATTCCTCTGTGACTCTACAATTTCCTGGGCTGGCTCCTTTTTATAATGTGTTAGGATATCTAATGCAACCATAGTCTACGAGGTCAAAAGTTTGTTTCACCTTGGCCAGTTGTTCAGTGGTTAGAGCATTGGCCTGAGGACCCAAAGGTCACAGGTTTGATTCCTAGTCAAGGGCACGTACCTCAGTTGCAGTTCGCTCCCTGCCCCAGGGTTGCATGTGAGAGGTAACCAGTGATGTGTTTCTGTCACATGATGTTTCTCTCTCTCTCCCCCTCCTCCTC